GTGGTAGAGCGTCCGCCCGGAGAGCGGAAGGTCCGGGGTTCGATCCCCGGCCGCGTCATACCAAAAGACGTTAAAAGATGGTACTTGTTGTTACCCTGTCTGGCGCTCGGCATTAAGGGGCTAAAACAAGGACTGGTCGGCTCGGAGTCAGTATACTGTGTCTGAGTGGGGTATTCGTGTTAAACTGCGGCATGGTATCTCAGTGGGCTAGCACTATAAATCGGCGTCAGTCCGGACTAGTACAAGCAGCCACACAAACACACATACGTACATGCACGTCGCTATATAAGTGCAATAATCTTGGACGCGACGTTAAACACAATTTCACCTCACCTCACCTCACCTCACCTCACCTCACTAAATTTGGGCGGAACAGAAACATGTTCACACAGCATGAGAGGGCAGAAGCATGCGCAGATCAGTGTGTCGCAATGAGATGAAAGCGTTCGCTCGTCACGCCGAAGACCCGGGTCCGATTCCCGACATGGGTGCAATGAGTGAAGCCCATATCTGGTGTCCCCCGCTGTGATATAGCGGGAATATTGCAAAAAGCGGCATAAAACCAAACTTACTCACTCACTACTGTAATGAATATTTGAACATGTGATAACTATTTCAGAAATAACCGTATTATCTCCATTTTTTTCTGATCTGAACTGACATATTTGAGAAGAATCCCAATGACATGAGAAACCTACATTGCATGTATCCTTGTTCAGGGATCTATTCCCTATAATGTTCAGCATCGTGCAGGAGTGAGTGAGTATGGTTTTACGCCGCTATTAGCAATATTCCAGCAATATCAAGGCGGGGGACACCAGAAATGAACTTCACACATTGTACCCATGTAGGGAATCGAACCCGGGTCTTCGGCGTGACGAGCGAACGCTTTAACCACTGGGCTACCCGACCGCCCCCGCATCGTGCAGGAAGCTGAGTCCATGATCCCCAGCGAGGTGTTCATGTTGTGCCTCAAGCGAGAAACCTGCGAGTTGTGTGTCATGTGAAATGCGGATGAGATCAGCCTTCTTAGCAGAACCAAGCACACAACAAGGACACAATAAAATCGGTACGCAAGGACTGTAATTAGATGTCATTTTGATCTTACGAGCGAGCCTTGCCCTTGTATACTCCGCATGGTGTTCCATGTTACAATGTAGTTATACGTGTGTCAGCATCATAGCATGCCTGGGTTAGCTGTGGTCTGATCAGCCTGAAACGAAGGCACGTAGTTTGACATCTCTGTTTGGTATCCCAAGATGGCACACAACAGTCCCAACAACGGGAATGCTTTCAGGTTTCGTCAGAATTTGGTTTTTGAAACTAGCTCGCCTCTTGAATATTTCTCCTTCCAAGCCCTGGGATCTATGTTTGACCCACCGTTCAGCAAAGTCAAGGGTCAAGGGTCAAGGACATCCTCCATGTCATAGCCTGTTCACTGTCTAACTCGAGAAGGAATTATTGTAGCCTAGTGATACTTGGAACATGTCCTTCTGAGATTAAAGGGGGCATGGTGGCTCAGTCATCTAAGGCGCTGCGATTCGCTTTGCAGAGCTGCGTCCCTTGGGCACACCAGAAACCTATGATTGTTGGTTCGAATCTTGGTTCGCCCCGATTATGTTTCTAGGTTTGTCAGCACCATACCCGTGCTCGTGGGTTTAACCGAAGAGGTAAGCGTCTGGGGCCTGCATCACTTCGGGCTTTCCTTCCACATTAATCTGACATGCCGTGATATGACTGAAATACGCGGCGTTAAGGCCAACTCACTCACTCTAAAATTAGAATACGTCGTGAATGTACTCTTAAGGTCATGGTCAATGTGAAAGTCATTTATAAAGTTTGTTGCCATTTTCGCTATAAAGCCTTCCCCGGCAAATATGGGTTAAGTGTTATGCATGTATAGATAGTGCTTTCTACTGTATATGAAATAATGAAATACTTACACTGATAATGAAATACTTACAACTGATAATGAAATACTTACAACTGATAATGAAATACTTACAACTGATAATGAAATACTTACACTGATAAATGAAATACTTACAACTGATAATGAAATACTTACACTGATTAATGAAATACTTACTACTGATAGTGAAATACTTACACTGATTAATGAAATACTTACAACTGATAATGAAATACTTACACTGATTATTGAAATACTTACTACTGATAGTGAAGGTAAAATTCCGTCTCAAAGTCATACACTTAAAACGCATTATGGTCATGATAACATAAGAAGTGTCTACTTCAGTAACATTAAGTTTCGTGCCACTCATCCTTAGGGTGTAAGTTTGAGGTGGTAACCTTTTAGAGTACCTTCATCGAAAGTCAAGGTCAGTGGTAAGGTCGTTCTGATTCTTTAAAATGTAACTCACTCACTCACACACTCACCTAATGGCACACACATCAATCTCTAATGACACAGACACTCACACACTCACCTAATGGCACACACATCAATCTCTAATGACACAGACACTCACACACTCACCTAATGGCACACACATCAATCTCTAATGACACAGACACTCACACACTCACCTAATGGCACACACATCAATCTCTAATGACACAGACACTCACACACTCACCTAATGGCACACACATCAATCTCTAATGACACAGACACTCACACACTCACCTAATGGCACACACATCAATCTCTAATGACACAGACACTCACACACTCACCTAATGGCACACACATCAATCTCTAATGACACAGACACGCACAAGGCCTCCTCATGGCACACACATCAATCTCTAATGACACAGACACTCACACACTCACCTAATGGCACACACATCAATCTCTAATGACACAGACACTCACACACTCACCTAATGGCACACACATCAATCTCTAATGACACAGACACGCACAAAACCTCCTCATGGCACACACATCAATCTCTAATGACACAGACACTCACACACTCACCTAATGGCACACACATCAATCTCTAATGACACAGACACGCACAAAACCTCCTCATGGCACACAAATCAATCTCTAATGACACAGACACTCACACACTCACCTAATGGCACACACATCAATCTCTAATGACACAGACACGCACAAAACCTCCTCATGGCACACACATCAATCTCTAATGACACAGACACGCACAAAACCTCCTCATGGCACATACATCACTCTCTTTTTCATAAAGTTAAAATGGCACTCCACAAACAGAGACAGGCTTGTCCACTAATACGATGTATAAATATGCACTGCTTGCCCACAGAGACCGCTCACACACTACACGCTACACAAGTCTGAACAAACAACGGCTGCATGAACAATCGCCGCCGTGACAACTAAAGAACTTTCCGCAGTCAAGGTGACCTTGCTGTCTCATTTCGACACTCAATATGACACAAGTTTTGTGTGCTGTTAACCTATCACCACATCAAACAAACAAAAAAACGATCATGATAAATAAGCATGTGGATTGCTGGTGTGTTAGTTAAGCGATCTATACATGGACGATGTTTGAACATATACCAAGGACAGGTTACATACACTCTACCTTTACTTCCTCACAATAAATATGTATGGAACGTCAGAGTATATTTGTTTTTATATTGATATTACATACTTCATATATGTGTATTTTAAAAAATTAAGATCAATTGTAGATTCCTCGAACAAATAGGAACATTAGAGACTTTTTTAATCTCATATATATCTGCGTTTTCGTAATCTGTTTGGGTCAATTTTGAATCGATATTCTCGCGATACGCGACTGTAACCAATGGCATGTGTGAAAGACACAATAGAACCATTGAGCAGACACTCAGAGCTTATTTTGACTCTGATCAGTCCAATTGGGCAGACTTCATTCCATGTTTCATGATGCGCGGGGGCCATGTTCCTCCAGTGGCAACACCTCCTTCTATCTCCTCTTTGGCAGAGAGATGCATCTCCCTACTTATGTTGCCCTTCTTCCCAAGCCCTCTCTAGGCAGAACTGCAGATCATCTTCAGACCCTTCTTGACAACCCCAAGTAGCCAAACCCATCGCTGAGAACAACATGAAAATTTCTCAAGAAATGAAATCAACAAAGAGCACACTGACCTCAAAGCCTAAGATCCCCAATTCTCAGTAGTTGATATGGTCCTGATGCAAAGTCCCCATGTTCTCCCTGTTCAGATTGTTTACTGCAGTTCATGCTCCTGTAAACCACCACCTGTCAGACTGCCACTTTTCTCCATTGCCTGACATTGTACATGTGACAAAATGTTACCTACAATATCTCCTCACTTCTGCTGCTAGACACATAGAAAATCGCAACGTCACACGACGCTTGCCGAGGAGTAATAAACTTTAAAAGACGAGTTTTGATATATTTGACATTAAAGTGAGAGAGTGAGTTGGTTTAACGCCGCTTTCAACAGTATTCCAGTTATATCATGGCATGTCAGCTTAATGTGGGAGGAAAGCCCGAAGTCATGCAGGTCTCCGACGTTTACCACTTCGGTGACACCCACGAGCACGGGTATGGTCCTTACAAACCGAGAAACAAAATCGGGGCGAACCGGGATTCGAACTCACAAACTATAGGTTTCTGGAGTGTCCAAGGGACGCAACTCTGCACAGCGAATTGCGGCGGTTAGGACGACTGGGCCACCCGTGCCCCCATTATACATCAAAAGGCATGATTATGAGATGTTATTTATCATCAAGAACAACCCTTCCAACTTGTTCAAGGTGTAAACAGTAATAACGAGTGTCTTGTATGTGAAAGCTAAGAGAGCTTAGAGAGAGAGACAATAATTTGATTTTTACGTAATGATAACCGATGACGTTACCTTGGTCAGCAGAGCTGCAAAGCAAGTTCATTCATATCTCCTGTGGAAGCTAGTTTTGGATGACAAAACCACTTGTTTGTCTACCATTTGCAATTCGTAAAGGATATTGCATATCAAAGAATCCTCACCATGTGCCACACCAACATTTCAATGTCCAACACAGACTAATTACGCCAAGGTAACTAAGTTTATTCAAGCCAATGCAAATTTAACATAATACAACCTCAAGCTTAGACAAAAATGCAATTCATGTATGTGTGTCTGTCAGTCTATGTCTGCGCGTGTGTGTCTGTGTGCATGTGTATGTCTGTGTTTGTGCCTAACTGTCTGTGTGAATGTGTCATATGAATGTAAATCATAGCAATATATACTTTGTAGTTGTTTTAATAGTGTAAAACTGTCACAGATGAACCACAATCATTGTACATGTATTAAGTATTGTATTACTAATTCAAACAAATAGTGCATGCGTAGATGCTGACATGATTTGCATGAGGTTTTAGATACAACATTTAGCAGTTTAACAGTGAACATCATTTGATGTGTTGGGCGCAAATATACAAGTCGCCCTTATCCTCAGCGTCACAACCACCACTACAAATCGTACAAGACGTGCATAATGTGTGGCCTGCAGAAAATAATGGAAATTCCCAATTATTTGTGGATATATTTCATCAACATAAATTAGAATACTACTACAAAATGACTTCCCCAATAATGTTTACATGCATTAACTCAACTTGTTTTGGGGTTTTGTTCAAATCTGAAGGAAAAGTATTGTTTCCATTACTCATTACTTTCCCATTTACGCAGCCACGTCGTCAGTAAGTGAGTTAGTTGGGTTTAAAACCACGTTGGATAGTGTTTCGGTTATATCGGGGCGTATCAGATTAATGTGCGAAGGACGCCCAAGAGTGTTGGGATGTGGGACCACTTTGGTGAAACCCACGAGCATGTGTATGATGCTGAAAAATCACGAAACATAATAACGGTAAATTGGGGCTTTCGAACCAAACAATGTCGGTTTCATGCACCTTAGATGACTGGACATGCCAACATCCCTACTGTCTTCCGACAGAAAGATATCATAGTTTGGTTTGAGTTCAAGGCCCTTCTGGTATAGCAACTTGAAGCACAGGAAACTTGTAGGAAAGATTGAAAGGACGCGAACCTTGTTTTACCCACAGGAAATGTCAAATCTTAAACCCTGAAACATGGTATTGAGCTGTTAAGGTCATTGTCTAGTATAAACCAACATTTTTTACGAATTGAAGAAATCAAAAACGCTTATTTCTATTTCTTATCAACACAGCTGATGGCTTTCAGAATGATTGGTAAGGGTTTTCCTCATATCCAAAAGGGTGCGAATCCCGTGAGTTAGTAATGGCTCTCATCATACTGTACATTATGATGGTGGCAAAGTACACTTCACTACTATGTTATGTCATAGCCTGATCGAACAACCATATCTGTGTTCTGTTGGTTTTGTCGCCATCTTCACCATCTTGGCGACACTTTCAGTATTATGTCTTTTGATGGCTGCAGAAGCTGACTGTTCCTTTTAAACGTCAGTACATCCTGTGAACACGGCAACAAATCAATGCAAGTTGGATTTCCCTACAGCCAAGCTCGAGCTCGAGCTCCAAGCTCGACTCACTACATGCATCATACTGTATTCCATTTACATCTGACATCAATGATGAAGAATTGACCATTGTGGGAATGCATTATAGTCCGTCAGCCATCATTGTGGCATCCGGTTTTTCATATTTGGTTTCATTAAACATACTATCACGCGACGAAAATCGGTTATTATCGAATAATAATCATTGACCGAACTAGAAATACCAGTGGTCTTGTGGTAGAGCGTCCGCCCGGAGAGCGGAAGGTCCGGGGTTCGATCCCCGACCGCGTCATACCAAAAGACGTTAAAAGATGGTACTTGTTGTTACCCTGTCTGGCGCTCGGCATTAAGGGGCTAAAACAAGGACTGGTCGGCTCGGAGTCAGTATACTGTGTCTGAGTGGGGTATTCATGTTAAACTGCAGCATGGTATCTCAGTGAGCTAGCACTATAAATCGGCATCAGTCCGGACTAGTCCAAGCAGCCACACACACACACACACACACACAAACACACATACGTACATGCAATAATATATAAGTGCAATAATCTTGGACGCGACGTTAAACCCCATTTCACCTCACCTCATGTCCGAATAAAACTATTTCTTCATGGTTCTCCTGAACTTTTAGTAGGGGGTAAGCACAGACAATTAAATGGCCCCCACCAATGACATAATGTGTGCCAAATGCTTGCTGCAAGTGTGAGACTTCTTCACATTATGGTAATGATTTCGTCGCTGTTATTTAGAAGTCAGGGAACAGCATAATGTGTTCTACCCCGAACATTGATTCTCAGATATAGCAAAAACATACACCGAAAAGCGGTATATAACGACTTGGGAATTCATTCCATACAATTACACATGCTGGTGAACATGTTCAAACACTTAGTCTTTGGCAAACAGACACTGTACACAACTACTAACGATCAGCGTCACCAGAAGTTTGCCAATGTCGCGATCTTTACAGGTTAACATTTTGTAACACCTCCGACAACGTTTTCCAGTATGTTCTGAAACACTTTCATGGAAAATCAAATGTGGGAGTCTTTCTTGCAAGTGTGTGAGTGTGAGAGAGTTGGGTTTAACGCCGCTTTTAACACTATTCTAGTTATATGACGGCGTGTCAGCTTAATGTTGGAGGAACGCCCGAAGTGATACAGGTCTCAGACGTTTACAACTTCGGTGAAACCCACGAGCACGGGTATGGTGCTGACAAACCTAGAAACATAATCGGGGCGAACCGGGATTCGAACCTACAATCATAGGTTTCTTTCGTGCCCAAGGGACGCAACTCTGCACAGCAAATCGAGCTTCATTCATATCTCCTGTGGAAGCTAGTTTTGGATGAGAAAACCACTTGTTTGACTACCATTTGCAATCTCCCAGCGCAACTTCTGGCAAGAATGGTATTGGTTTCATCATATTAAATATTATATAACGTATTCCTACCGGTGTGTCTGGCGCACGCTCAAACGTGACAATCCTCATAACATGAACCAAGGCAATCTTAGCCTCAACCAGAGCAAGACGCATCCCAATACAGGCTCGAGGACCGTACCCGAAGGCAAGGAAGGACAGCGGATTGGACTTTTCATCGTGTCTACAAAGAAATAAGTAAATGTTATCTCAGAATCAATCATACTTCATATTTCAATAGCATATTTACATGAAAGTAAAAACGTTGTCGTAAAGCTAATCATGCATATTATATCATTTTGACAGGTAATGATAAGCCTAATTACACTTATACAATGCCCTAGTCTCCGGCCAAGCACTGAGGACAACGTCTAGACATATCCTTCGAATGGGTCCCGGATTCAGTCTTCTTCTAGGACTTTCCACGACGATGTGATGAGGAATTAAAGTAATATACGTTTGCGGGGTAGAAAGAAAGAAAAGGATTTTTATGTATAATAATGTTTACAAGCATGCTCCAAGGATAACCTTGCTTCACTGGGGCGGCGGGGTAGCCTAGTGCTTAAAGCGTTCGCTCGTCACTCCAAAGGCCCGTGTTCGATTCCCCACATGGGTACAATGTGTGAAGCCGATTCCTGGTGTCCCCCGGCCGTGATATTGTTTTTATATTCCTAACAGCGGCGTACAACCATACTCACACACTCACTCACTAACTCATTACCTCTCTGGCTTGAAGGAATCTGGATCCTTGTAGAGCTGAGCGTCTCTCTGCATCGCCATCACAGGAGTAAAGACGGTTTGACCCACCGAGATTGTTATGTCCCGGATCTTGATAGTCTCAGAAACGTTCCGATTTAGCCTAATACACGAGGATCAAGTATGAACATAAATGACAAGTGATGTTATCCCATACAATATCTTTCCCAGGTGGTAAGGAAGCAGCAAATATATACTGACGGACGTTGAAACAACTCAAAAAAACTTCATGTTTACTAGTTATTGCTCTTAAAAGCTTTTATCTGACACACCCAACGTACTTTTCACGAATATTTTACCTAAACCTGTTATACAATTTAACTTGTCTCCTATTGGTTTCACTTCAGCCTTGCCTGTGATATCATTGGTGTCATTTTAATGGCTGGCCAAGGCACAGAACTATTGGCATTAGATTTGTATATAGCACTGGGTTTATTATATCATTTAGTCACACGACGATACCACTATTTGATTTACTGGAAGGACTATTGTGTTCATCAGTCAGGTCACACATTGTAACCAGCCATCTCTTGTACACGCACATGACAGCCGCTGGGTAGAGTCGGAGCGTCTCGGTGATGACGTTGTCCAGATACTTCAGCTTCCCAATGTTGTCGTAGTCAGGATCCTCCTGGAGACAAAACAACCAGACTGTAAGCGCCTTGATATCATATCACCTGGGTTGCTTCTTACAGAGGGGGAGAGGGGTACAGAAGGATGAATTAACTCTTGCTATCTCTGATGTAGTGAGTGAGTTGGATTTAACGCCGCTTTTAACAGTATTCTAGTTATATCACGGCGTGTCAGCTTATTGTGGGAGGAAAGCCCGAAGTGATGCAGGTCTCGGACGTTTACCACTTCGGTGAAACCCTCGAGCACGGGTATGGTGCTGACAAACTTAGAAACATAATCGGGGCGAACCGGGATTCGAACCTACAATCATAGGTTTCTTTCGTGCCCAAGGGACGCAACTCTGCACAGCGAATCGCGGCGCCCCTATCTCTGATGTAGTTCTTCCGTGGTGTTATCATAATATCAACAATAATAGTAACAATTATGGTCCTTATATAACGCATTTTCCACACTAAGTGTGTTCTGTGTGCAATGCGGTGAACATATGCAGTCCCATTATTGGTATCTCCCTGATGAGGCTGGAATAGTTACTTACTTACTCCTGGCAATACAATAACAGTTTTGAAACAAGAGCATTCACATCGTTTAACCATCTGTTACAGCGATCTACCCATGTTAGTGTGTTGTTTAACGCCGCAGTCATCAATATTTCAGTTATATGACGGTGGTCTGTAATAATCGAGTCTGGACCAGGTTCCAGTGATTGCCACTTGAGTATCAATCAACACAACTGGGATAAGTTAGACGTCTCTCACGACAAGCATGGGTTGCTGAAGACCAGTTCCCACCCTGATATTGACGGGGTGTACGGTAGGACAACATGTATGTTATACTGACATCCCCCAACTTTTCTTTAATTTCGTTGTATGCCTTTTTCTGTATATCCGGGTGAGTGGCCAGACAGTATGACACAAATTGCAGTGTTGAAGCCGTTGTTTCGTATCCAGCAATAAAGAACAGTATCCCCTGGGCAACAATTTCATCTGCGGATAGACCTGTAAGGGAAACAAATTGTATTTTCTTCCTTGTCGTGTTGCAGTAACTGTTTCTTAATTCAGATCTATAAAACACTCAAAACCTGGACCCAACCCATGCCAAAATATTCGCGATAAATTTTGTCCTGATAGAATGAAGACATAAACAAAATGTGTTTCAGTGAAGAGCTATGTTACCTGTAGACATTGCTGTGCTAAACGTAACGATGTGCGTGTGGTTTCGAATTCTATTTTTTTTAATTATATCAACAATATAACTGCTATTAATCAATATAAGATTTTGGTAAATTTCTGCCTAGGCAACACATTTCGTTCATCACAACTAACATAGTAAATGATGTACTCGACCTTATTGGTGCGAGATGGGTGTTGCATTAATCTAATAACTCAAATTTGTCTGATATATTCAACAGGTTAATTGGTCGATTTCAGGGACGACTAGTATTCGTTTGCTTTAATACCATCATTTGTAACACAACCTTCACGACAATACTCTCATATATGAGATAATACAAGCGTTATAACGTTCAACAGACAAGAACTGTCACAAAACAGGCAGGGCATCAGGATATGTGAGAAGCGCCAAATGCCAAGCTGAGTATTTGATGTCACTGAATCTGTCATTGCACTCTCGTAGACGTAGTTTGTAGGGTGTTCTGTCTTAAATGTATTGCCACACTTGCTTTTTATACTATGGAAACACAGAATTTCAAAATGCTTTGAGAATTTGAGTATTCAAAATCTCCCACACGCCTAAAAGAACTGTTTTCAAATGATCATTGTTTTTTTCTGATATATTCATCAGGTACACCATAGTCTAATGTAAATTATATATAACTGACAGACCAACGAGACAAAATAGATTCATTAATGTCATAGTAGAATAAGGGTTAACTTAGTCATGGGTTCAAAACATGTCTGTGACTGATATGATTCATGGAGCATAGTGTTTTACGTTTAAATCAACACCTCAACTTCTTTTCAAAGTGACTATCCCTACTTTGCTTCATATATGGTTGTACTCACGCTTGACCGAATGATTGTCAGTAGTTCCTCCATTGGCCACGCCACCTTTCTCTTCTTGTTGATCCTGCCCTTCAGCGTCTATCATGTGTTGCAAGAAGTCATTCCTCTGCTACGAATATAGAATTGGTTGTTGTTACAGTAACATTTCAAATCTTTGAACCAACAAATATTAAAGGAAACAGCCACTTTTGTTACCTTTTAGCATTACTAATGCATGCATGATATATGAACGTTAAAATAAAATAAAACCTACTTGTTATTGATATTGACAAGTATGTTCCTGCCTATTAAATTTGACTTGGGTTGTCAACAAATATCATCCTCAACATCTCCCAGACAGGTTAGGCGTTGTAATGGTGATATTTAAATCCCTAAGCCTAAAAGCAACAACTCCAATATCCAACCTCTCGCTGTTCCTTTGAGTCATGCTGTCTCTGTTTTATCATTTCCCTAATGCTTCTGTGGAAGAACTTAATGACTGTCTGTGGAAAGAATCCCATACCAAGCTTTTGCAGGAAGGGGGCAAGAACTGGAATCATAACTGAAAATACAACAGAGAGACCACAAATGGTCACAGTACATGTATTGGCAACTAATAATAATTATTATGTCAAAGGGATCATGGCTTTCAAGATGTTCCATTTTAAACATGGGAAAAGAAAATAGCTTTGTTTATAATTTATTAAATACAAAAAAGTGGCACATTTATTTACAACACAGGATTGTGTTTATAGAGCATATAATTGTATTCTCATCATGATAACGAGGAGCTGTCAGACAACTAAGTATTACAAGCAAATTCAAGACAAAGTCATGATCGTGGATGATTATCGTCGGTTTTAAGTCGCCATTACAGTAACGAACTTCATCGCTGTTGATCAACCAGAAACAACCTTCGACAAGCCCAATTGAAAGCGTGAGATTCAAATGGGTTAGTCAGTCCTATCATATTATTCAGTAGGTATTTCAACCTTATCAGCATCGTCAAGTTTCCTTAAATACAGCTGTTATTTACAAATGTGTTACATTTTCAAATTGTAAAATCTCCTCACATCTGCTCAATTATTCTACGACTACAGGGAATACACATAGATCAATAGATCAATATTCGTCCAGATGAATTTCGTTCACATGACTTAGTGACGATTCCAGGATTTCCATAGGCCTGATTGGTTGATTCCCTCTGTTCGTCCATTATTCTCCAGGAGATCAGACAGAAGGCGATCCTTAATGTACTTGACTTTACATCTTTCTCGACCCAGAACATATATATTCAAACGACACGTGTATGTAACTGATGATACGTTAAGTTGTGTATGTGCATGCATCACGTACACAATTCTGTTACAGTGAGTAGACCTACATTATATGGTATCCATTCTTGATTACGTTTCTAAACAGTTCGCATATCAGGCGATCAAATTTCATGCAAGCGATATGCCACCCGTGTTTCCCCACAGTGTGTTATCATGTTACCTGGTTGTACGTGCCCACAGGAAACAGAATGAACACTTGAACACCAACAAGTCTTATCCCCACACCCACCCCTGCTTTGAAGCCTACAATAGCAAAGTATCTGTTATGAATCAACTTACCTCCGAGTAATGCAAAAAAGGATCTCAGTTTCGTGGGGCTAAACATCTGTTTAGCATTAACAACAAAGGGGTGGTTGAAATCATTCTGGGAATCCACTTTTATACCGAAGGCAGTTCGTGAAATCACGTCCATGGTGTAAGCTCCAAAGTATCTGAAAGAGATATATTTGATGAAAACTTATGTGGGCAGTACATAATTCCAATCCAGCTTCTGCTGACAACTCAATGTATGCAGTTGAACCTAATAACTGTGAACCCCTTTAATCCAGAAACAACACCTTCTTGGAGAGAGCATGCGGGAACTATAGCGTCCAGATTAATTGGGTTTCACTTTATACAGGTATGGCATTCCAAAATACATTGTGGTAATGATGGGCTTGGACTGACTGTGGTATTAGTTTGTTTGTTTATGTAAAATAAAATATCAGCGCCAAATAATCATTTGTCTCGATCATCTACTGAAACAGATTCTTTTGGGCGTTAAAGGTAAAATTATCATGAAAACTATATGTATTGTCACTAAAACACCATAAAGTGTTGTAATGGAATACTCAAACTGGTGATCATAAAAGGTTATCCAACCGTTTCCAACGTAACGCACTTACTGTTTCATTGGCACCCCTTCATCTTTTCTTATGGCTTTTGAGAAATTATTTGCAAGCGCCCGAGCACAGTCGTTGATAGGGATGCACATCTAGGAAGAGAGTATTGTATATGCACGATATGCTAGCGTACTGACTTACTGGTTCTGGGCTTGAATTATTGTTTTGTTTGTTCCGGGCAATGCTGAACAATACTTTATTCGGGTTTAACAAAAACATATGCAGTTCGCTTTGTAACCTGAATGTTCTGACAAACTGTGCTGCGAAAAAGCGATAATTTGTCTCCCTCCTTTCAGGGGATAATAACTGGATGTATTGAAGCAGAGACCGAACAAAAATCCTTCACTTTAGGGTTAGTTGTCAAACTGATATGTTTTGTCAGGAACTCATAAAAACATCATAAAAGGGACAAACCCCTATATATAACCATCTATTGGACGATTCCGACCATATAATAAGTATGTGCACATGAATCACTATCAACTAGTGATGATACCAGGTGTTCGCAAAAAGATTGGCATATCCTGCCCCACTGGTGGCACCGTCACAAAAACACTTGCCAAGGCAAGTAGAGTGCTTACTTGAACACACATAGAAACATATTGATCATAATACAGACATTGTATCGGCCATCATTTTGGTCACTGATGCGTCAAATTTGGAACTTTCCTCCACATGTCTGCCATAATAAGACGTTTTGAAAGTTTGATTAGGGCCTCTATACAGAGAGAAGACTTCATAACTTATAATGTAGCAATGTCTAAAATGATTCTCACATTTCCCATATCAATTGTTACCAATGTCCTATGAATATGTTTTCCTGTCACAATTGATTACCTCTACTTTCTTGTGGCAACCATTGGTTGCCATTGGTACCTATGATAAGTGTGGTATCCATGGTACTAACGCCGATTATGCGCATACATTTATAGAAGGAAGGCTTTGAAAGTCACTCACCCGTCTCAGTTTGCCACCACTGAAAGTCGGGCTCAGGATGCTTCTCACCCTCTTCCAGGAGGCATCTTCCAAGAATGCCAACGCCAAACTGAACGGGTAGGGTATAACCATGGGGAACTGGAAGTTAGTGAAAACAATTATATATTCTGCCTCGCAACACACAGAACACCGTGAACACGTCAATCAACAAAAACGTCCTCACGACAAGCTGTTTCAAATTGCAATTTGTATGTGAAAATTCCTAGTAATGGACAATACATGCGTTGTCAGTTTATTCAATGTCTGTGGTTGAACTTGAAATATGTCGTATACGTGGATTCTTTTTTATAAGATATTACATTTATTTTCAGACTCTTTAATCACTAGTGATAATATTTTGCCAAGAAAAGAGAGTTGGTATTGTATGTTTCTAGTTAAGCGGTGTGCGAGACGTCTGGGGTGCCTGGATATGGCACCACACATTTGTGAGCAATTTACGATCAAAGTCTACATTGAAAGAAAATACCATGAAATCAATCACAACCTATCCGTCATTTTTTTAGCTGTTACCTTAACAGTAATTATGATACATTCACATACCGGAAATTGTTGCACGAATAATGTAAATAATTCACAGATTTACTTACTGCTCGGTTTCGAAAATTGTTGAAACTTTTGACGAGGACCTCCTTCAAGATGTCCAGATCGGATATAACAAAGCATGGACGTCTCCCCGTGAAGATCCTTTAGCACAGAACACACACATTGATACAACATCTCATATGAACTGAGATGATGATATAATTAGAACATAGCAATTATATTTTGGCTTCATTGTAATAATATCAAGACCATAACATATGCAATATCTGCTTATCACGTCGGTACATAAACTATATCAAGGAACACGTGGCGACTTCCGACTCATGTCTCTGTGACGGTATTTGTCCATCACACCTACTATTTAGAAGGTATCTTAAGCATGAACGTACCCAAATGTACGTCCGTAGCGTTGTCCCAGGGTGGGTAAATCATAGAAGATACCCTGTAAGAAAAAGGGAAAAGGATTGCATACCTGCCTCTCGGCTATCTGACAATATTTTCAGACATACATGAAACTTTAAGACTTAGTGCCCTCATCCTTGACACACAGGCCCGTGGACCTTACCTTGCTGCGATAATTATTTTTTTAGGCATATTGTACCCTGTTGCGCCGCAACCTTTCATCCCATAGTTGTCAACTTAATATGTACTGCAGCGCCAAATGCGTGACATGTTCTGTTCTTTTTATAGTCAGTGGTCAAGTGGTTCGGCAGCTATATTGGATTCAAGATTTTCAGAGTGCAATTTACTTTATTTTTGGTACATTGTCTTCAAGACCCAACTCCTCTGAACCTATTGGTGGAAATACTTCCACTCTTTCTTCTAAGAATTGTTTCCATATCTAATAATCAAATTATGGTTACCGATTTCTGTGACATTTTAGGTTTCGGCCATTTTAGATTTTACTTCTGATCGATGTTTTCTTATGAATTTTACTTGTAAAATCTTGAAACTTTGCATCAAGTTTTGACGCCACATGTTTCACATTTTTTTGCTCTTGTTTGCATTTCAAGAGGAGCTTTACAAGTGGCGGCCATATTGGATTCAGGATTTTCAGAGTGCATTTTAGAATCGGTAGGGGGCGCTGCTCAGTGGCGACACGCATCATAACGGACGGACTAAAGAGCAAGGTCAGAGCACGGAATAATAAGCCGAATTACTTACGATGATATTATCAAATGTACGTTCTCTTAGAAGTAGAAGCCGGTATGAAGTTATTGTATGAATTTAGGGAAAGCTGTCTGCTGTGTTTTACTGATACATATGTGAAGCTTAATAACATTGGTGCTACCTCAAAACAATGCCAATGGGTCACATCATTTTAACAGGTCGTCACAGTTAATCTATTGTTTGCACTTCTACAGGGGCCGCTCAACGTTGTGTCGTCTCGCCCATTTTATTTCTGTACACCATTGACTCTGTGAGCCGTTTTGTTAACTGGTTTTCTGTAAAAATTGCATTTGACGCTGCATTGGCAGGTATTATATAGGATTCAGAACTAGAGTACAGAAAAGTAATATCTAATTGTATATCTTGGTGTAAGGATAATTATGTGTTTTAAAATGTCAAGAATGGTCATACCTTATAGGAAAGATGACTCAAGTTCTATTCCAGTTGTTCATGATAATGAGGTAATAGAAGCTGTGGGCAAGTATAAATATCTGAGCACCACCACTGATTCACAACTCACAAGGGATGCAAATATATATGGGGTAGAACAGAATTATTTCCATGTAAAATACTTCAATGGTATTGGTCAATGACGTTTTGATAAAAGCTACAACTGTGTATAACTGAAAAGATACATACCTCGATCGCTGTCAAGGCAACAGACAGTTGTCGGTTTATGTCTTGCCTCTGTAATCGTGGTAATTCGAGCTACTTACAGCGAAACGCGTAATGTGTCTTAACATTCACTTTAGATGAACGTGATTCACAGAGGTTGATCATAAACAAATAGTTGTTTGGCAATTTGTCGATAAAGAAACGCTTCGCATCTCAATCTAATTTTGTTTTCAAATTGTGGCAAGAAGAAAGCCTAGCTTACCATTGGAGTTATTGCTGAAAGATCGCATAAATCACATGGACACGATTTGGCATGATTATATTGTTGCACTACACGACTTTCTATCATGTTGTCTTTTTGTGAAACCGTTGATAAGCTTGGTCACATTATGGAATGGACTATTTGCATGCCATTGTAGAAGAATGATTATACCAAAAAGTTGTAAATATTATATTTGGACCTACAAATCCAGCGCTGTTCCCAATAAAAGGGTATGGTGCTGGCCCAGGAATGCCCTGCTTGTTGAAGTAATTGAAGTTCCATGTTCCATATCTGTAAGACAAAGACCATGATGAAATGTTCAGGTACGAAGAGTAAGAGACACTTGGAACTTGTACACATCTTCTGGTGGACAAACTGAAGAACTATATTTGAAAACATTTTATCCCAGTCACGGAAGAATTAGTGTATAAAGGCCCATATAATGTCAGAATTGTAACTTTATGGCAACTGTATCAAATAAAGTAACCACCTTGTATTGATATTTATAAACTTAGAACCCCAATTGTTCAAAACGATGCATTGATATTGTCATATAATGACTACCATTATTGTGCTTTTACGCCCATTGGCAGATAATCGAAATTGATTATTCTCTTGTGTTGACGTTATATTTTCCAATGGATTATCCTTGTCAGGAAAATGTAAAGAAAAATGAAGAGGAATATATATGAACATTAATTTAATAAATGCATTATTGTTTTTTTGTACTTCCGACTTTCATTTCAGTTGCTCCCTTTGGAGCAATAACGACAACAAAGCGGACTAAGTCGGAGGTTCTAATCCTATTCCTTCTACCAGTCTTGACACCAACGTTATTAACTCCAGGTCATTTCAATATTGCTATTATTTCTCAAAATCGTCACGATATGGCTGAAATACTGCTGATGTGACGTTAAATATTAACTCACTCACTCACTATTTCTCAAAACGATAAATGATTATTGTACTTAAAAATAAACAAATTTTGAAACAGTTTCTGTCAGTTAACCACAAGATGTCTACAGTTAATCTGCAAAATAACAATGATAAAAATAGATACGTTTCTTCAAGTTTGGGTGATATTCTGAAAGCTTTATATTGTCAAGAGAAGGAACTGTGCACTGTCACGGTGCTTTTAAAATAACAATTACGCCGCTCGAGTGTAAGCTAGAGTAATGCCTCACGAGGAATTATCAAAAGGTATGTAGTACAAGAGAACATGCGTAAACACTCACGTTGAAATATGAATATGAGTGAGTGAGTGAGTTGTGCGTAACGCTGCTTTTAACAGTATTCCAGTTATATCAAGGCATGTGAGCTTGATGTGGGAGGAAAGACCGAAGTGATGCAGATCTCAGGCGTTTACCACTCCGGTGAAACCCACGAGCACGGTTATGGTGCTGACAAACCTAGAAACCTAATCGGAGCAAACCGGGATTCGAACCCACAATCATAGGTTTCTGGCGTGCCCAAGGGACTCAACTCCGACGACAGGGCCACCCGTGCCCCCAAATGAATATGAGTGAGTGAGTGAGTGAGTATGGTTTTACGCCGCTTTTAGCAATATTCCAGCAATATCACGGCGGGGGACACCAGAAATGGGCTTCACACATTGTACCCATGTCGGGAATCGAACCCGGGTCTTCGGCGTGACGAGCGAACGCTTTAACCACTAGGCTACCCGACCGCCCCAAATGAATATGAAGACACATGGATTGCATTAAGGCGCATTGAGAAAGATAGAATAAAATAAAGTTATCAGGCTAATATACAGGCAACACTGATAGTAAACTAGTTCTAATAAACAGATGACACGGTCTAAATACATAGAGGGTTTATGAAATCTACACAGGTAAAAGTTGCCACGAGTTCAGTCTAAATAGATCAAAGGACATCGGATCAAACCAACTGTTACGTAACCAGCTTCTGTCATGACAGTTGGACAGCGACTCCAGTTGGACGATGTTCGGGAATTTATCCCTGAGGAAATACAGCATAAGCTATGTTCGCCAATCTGGTCCTCGTCACACGCTTTATTTGCCTCTATTGTTAAGAGAAGGAACAACGCTACCTATGTCCTTATTTCCCCTTCTTAGACGTTCGTGTATATATAGACCCCAGTAACAAGAACCACCGTCTAAAGGAAACCTACATACCCATTCTGATCAGTACATTCACTTGAACTCTAACCACCCTTCTAAGACTAAGTCTGGCATCATCTCCATACTTACCAAGAGAGCCACTCCATCCCGTCTAAGTAGATACCCGCGTCAAAGAGCATAAGACTTCAACAAACGAAACAGAGAGCAAATCAGATCCCCCCCCCCCCCCGACTACCAGCAAACACCCACAAGCCATCAAATTCTGTGTGTATGTCAACAAGTGGGAACAACGCTCCCGATGAAATGATCATAGGTGAGAACAACGATCCCAATGTCTCTAGCCTTAAAGGCGAATAACACTCGTAATTAATCGACCTTCATGTGTATGTTTTATAAAGTGGGAACTACGATTTCAGTGTCTCTATCATCGTTGAAATTACGTTCCCGGTGCATCTTGTCAAGTAGGGAAAGGCTTCCAGTGTACATCTCGTGAAAGGGGGTCAACGCTCCCGATATTAACACGCTGCGTCCGTTGCGCAAACTCACTATAACATTTTGCCAAACAGTCACGATTTGACATCAGCTGTCAATATAGATCATGCTGACACTGCTTAATTTCGACAAATGATCACCACAAATTTTCTAGCTTTTACGCAATCATACAACATAAGGTACTTTAGATGTCTTTAATAAGCCGTTTTCACATATTTCAACTGTCTACTTACATATAAATCAGCACAATCGCCGTCAGAGCCAGAATGATATTTAGCGGGACGTCAACGAGCCCCAAGATCTCCATGTTGAAGTGACGAGTTACTGTTAAAAACTCACCAAACACATAGCTCTCATGACCTAAATATCGAGTTATTTTTGTACTGCGTTGCCCACTCAGATTGTAAATGTTTCAAGGTTACATGAAACTAGGTTGTGCTTGCTTGTGTTGTGGTTGAATTTTGTGTATATGTAATTGCTTATGTTTGTTTGTGTTTGAGTCTGTATTTATGTATCTGTATATATGTGTTTGTTGTCTGTGTTTGTGCATCTGAGTGCCTGTGTTAGTGTGTCTGTGTTTGTGTGTCTGTGTTTGTGTGTCTGTGCATGTGTGCTTGTTGGTGCTTATCATGTGTTTCTCTGTGTGTGTATCTGTGTAGGCGTTTTTTTGTGTCTGTGTATGTGTGTTTGTGTCTGTATATATGTGTTTGTGTGTCTGTGCATGTGTGCTTGTTGGCGCTTATCATGTGTCTCTCTGTGTGTGTATCTGTGTAGGCGTTTTGTTGTGTTTGTGTATGTGTATGTGTGTTTGTGTCTGCATATGCGTGTTTGCGTATCTTTGTATGTATGTTTCTGTGTGGCTGTGTTCATATGCATGTTTATTTAGCCTATATGTGTGTGTGTCTGTGCGCTTGCGAACGTTTGTTGCAATGTGTGTGCGTTTATGTGTCTGTGTATGTGCTTGTGTCTTTGTCTGTGGTTGTTTGTGTGTATGACTGGGTCTTATAGCCTCTGAGTGTCTGTGTGTCTCTTTTAGTTTACGTTTGTGCCTAAGAGTACGTGCGTACATGCCTATGTTTCCTTTAATGTATCTCTACAGTTGTACCTAGTGAGTTATTTATCAAGCAAAGTAAAGCCTTCAAGACGTTTTGTGTCGGACATTTGCAATATCACAGCAGGGGGCAACAGAAATTGGATTCATGCGTTGTACCCATGTGGCTGATCTATTGGGTTTTCATCAGTTAGAATTCATCGAGAGCGTACATTCATATGCGTAGGAGAATGTTGACGTTAAGACGAATTTCTCAAATGCAGTGTCTGTGGTCAATAAGGTAGGCTTCTGGTATGTGTATATGCACAAGTTAAATTTATAAAATAGTGGCACAGATTATTAAAGATGCCATGTTACAGGTATCTAAGCAGCGGGTGCTACCTGTAGAGCTGTACATGCTAACCATTTTCGAGAACACCTGGCGTAATCACTGATTTTCAGTGATCCATTCATATAACTTCTATCCTCATTTTGCCTTTTACGCCAAATAAAATCTGTTTTCGTTAATAACCGAGACTGATTGCTCTCTGGCGTTGATGTTTTATATGTCAATGTAGTTGGTCAAACGAACTAATACCTCAACCATTTCCAAGTCCACTGTATATAGTGAAACCTCGTTAAGCTGGACACTAAACTGCACAGTGAAATAATCGGCATCAATATAGATCCGGACTAACGTTTCTGTTAATTTGTTAAGTTTTTTGAATTGGTGTCGTCTGGAGGTTTCAATGTATTAAAGTCATTAACACCTAATATATTTCTTTCTGGGAAGCTGTGAAATGATACGAAAAGGGATGTTATAAACAATTTAAAAGATTTCTGTACATCTTTTCACACAGATTTGTACAACAATTGGCTGGGCTTTGCATGTGTTTGTGACTGATGCCACCGGTGGAGCAGGATAGAAGATTTGTAAGGGTTATGAAGACCCTTGACTCTGATGTTAGTGTTTGCCAGGGATGCTTCTTAAGTCAGTATTTTATATCATTTTTAATCGATGAATGTTTAATAACTGATGCTGGAGCTTTATTTACCCCATCCATTTGTATCGAGACATTTACACAAACCTAGCTTCTCTTGTCGGAATGCACTTAATAATGATTTCTAGTACATTTACTGGACTACAAGGGCAAAATTAGATGTGAACAGAGAATAAACTGTAGAAAGAACCAGAACAAATATATGGTAGAAACCCTATCTGTCTTAATTACTCCGTATGTACACGGTGCAGTTATACGGTGTTATAAGATAAGCCAAGCAGAATATACATAAACATAAACAACTTCACAAGTGAATTTACATACGTGTACTCCCAAAATGATATGCATGACACCGATGGAGCAGGGTACACAGGGTACGCTCAACCTTATGGTGTCACCACTGTTTGACAGTGATTATCAGCACAAACTCATGATATAGTCGTAGTTGTACAACCTGGCAGAGATGTATATGAATATTGAAAAGGTTTTAGTCGCTTTTATTATACACTCATCTACTATTGAATCAGGCCGCAATAGTAGTCATTCTGAGTTATCAACATTTTAAAGTTGGTTTATCTATGACATGGAGAAATAAGTTCCCAATACCGAAAACAGTGTTTGAATATGATGTGAAAGCCTCAAGTGACACGATTCGCAAACACTAGCTAGCGATAACTCCCTTTCTCCTATTTTACGTGTTTGTTTCCAATCTCGGTCTGTTTCTCCCTGTATATTATATACTTAGTAACAGATTCACACCCACAAGGTCGCAGTTTGAACTGTCCCGAAAATTGAACCCGCCTCGATACCTTCTGACCCAGTATGAACATTGCAACACACCTCTTCTTGCAAACCTATTGATATCCGACATACTCCAAGTAGGCCACCGTGTGCAGTGCGTCCCACGACAGATGGACAGGTAGATATGTATAGGGGAGCACTGGGTTGAGGCCGCTCTGAATAATGTCATTTTTCTGCGACCTGGTTTTCGTACATTGAGCAGTGTTCGATGTACATGAGGTTGGTTGGTTGGTTTGTTGTTTAACGCCGCACTCAGCAATATTCCAGCTATATGACGGCGGTCTGTTAATAATCGAGTCTGGACCAGACAATCCAGTGGTTGATATTATGAGCATTGATCCACGCAATTGGGATCGATGACATGCTTCAACCAAGTCAGCGAGCATGGCCACCCGATCCCGTTAGTCGCCTCTGACGACAAGCGTAGTCGCCTTTTACGGCAAACATGGGTTGCTGAAGACCTATTCTATCCCGGAATCTTCACAGGTCATGTATGACACAAACACGTACACAAACATGGTTTGTTTAAATAACCGTGCTTCATATTACACTTATATTAGGAGATAAACATACCGTGTAAGGTAAGATACCAGTGGATTAAACTAACACACTAAATAGAATTTTGAACTGAACAGTGGAAAGCTTTGATGGAAAAGCCATTACATTGCAAGGAGAGTATATTTATCTATATTCTGCCATAAGAAGACATTGAGTGAAGCGGTCCAATGTTATGAGTGAGTTGTCACAATTAAAGAAACAACATATAACAGACATTCAACGAGGTTTGTGTGCATGCTCAAACATTGCTTTATCTTCACATGATCATACTTTACTTATCGCACAGCAACGACGTGAGCCAATGTGAAATGAGCACCCTTGACGAAACTTAACCAAGCCCTGCGAGGATGTTTTGCGCCACACGCTCTATTATGACGTGACACCACTCATTGTCACTATTGTCACTATGACCTCACAGTCGGCTCTTGCAAAGCGCCGAATGTTAATCGCTCTATGGTCCCTTAGACTTCAGATACACTATCTTATATCGTATTTTCTGCTCATATGTATTACCAGATCCTATGATCATTGTATTTACTGCATGTCTGCATATCTGCGTAACTGATAATTAAAATGCCTTTCGACAATGATTAAGAAGGATTTTCAGAGGTGGTTATTGTAATTTGATACCAATGATTGACCAATCAGAATCAGGTAATTTCCAAATTCATGGCAGAATGAGGATAACATGGGATGGATGTGCCTTGTATAATATACTGAACCGCTAAAGAAACGTCACCATGGATAGATATAGGAGAAACCTTTTTTGTCCAAACACTGTAAACATACTTTGAGACATATTAAAAAGATGAAACATGCCAAAACTGATCATCAAGGTTGAAGTTAAAGTGTCAAATGTTCTTTAAGTGAAACACAACACGTCTCTGAGAAAATGGCATCACAAATCAATATCTCGTGTGTCCGCCATGTGCATTGATGACTGCCGTGCAACGTCGATACATGGAATGTATGAGGCGGTTGATGAAGGCCATAGGCACTTGAGCCAACACTGTGAGGAACGCCTGACGCAGTTCAGCTGCAGTTGTGGGCCTTAGTCATTCATTCAACCGTCTTTGAATTTCTTCCCACAGGTGCACAGGGCCTCAAAACACCCTCTATGTACTGAGCCTCTGTTAAGTTGCCCCTAATGGTGACCAAATCCAACCTGCATCTATATGACAGTGGTCTGTAAATAATAGAATCTGGACCAGACAAATCAAGTGATTGACATCACACGCATCGATCTACACAATTTAGATACAATGACCTGCATCAATCACTTCAACGAGCCTGAACACCCGATCAGGTTAGTCGCCTCTTACTACAAGCATGGGTTGCTGAAGACCAATTCTAACCCGAAACTTTTCACGGGACCATGGTTGTACGTGTCTACAGGAAACAGAATGAACCCTTGAACACCAACAAGGCCTGGTCTTCGCTGATTTGAAGCCTACAATAGCAAACTGTTATAATTCAACTTACCTCCCAGTAATCCCAAAAAGGATCTCAATTTCGTGGGGCTAAACATCTGTTTAGCATTAACAACAAAGGGGTGGTTGAAATCATTCTGGGAATCTAATTTTATACCGAAGACAGTTCGTGAAATCGCGTCCATGGCGTAAGCTCCAAAGTATCTGAAAGAGATATATTTGATGAAGACTTATGTGGGCAGTACTTAATTCCAATCCAGCTTCTGCTGACATCTCAAAGTATGCTGTTGAACCTCATAACTGTGGACCCCTTTAATCCGGAAACCCCACCTTCTTCGAGAGAGTGAGTGAGTATGGTTTTACGCCGCTTTTAGCAATATTCCAGCAATATCACGGCGGGGAACACCAGAAATAGGCTTCACACATTGTACCCATGTCGGGAATCGAACCCTGGTCTTCGGCGTGACGAGCAAACGCTTTAACCACTAGGCTACCCGACCGCCCTCTTCGAGAGAGCAGGAACTATA